TGTACTTCTGACTTTCAAAACCACCCAACCCTTTTGCTTATACATACACAAGCTATTGGCCACAAAACACACGCATGCTTAAGCCCTGAAAACACCTAGAACACAGAATCACCAAAACACTTCAAAACTTGTCATTTTTGAGTTTTGAAGCCAATCTTCAAATCTACTCGTGCGTTTCTTGGCCTTTTACTTTCAAAAGCTTCTAAACAACATACACAAACAATCCCAACACCTGTATCACCACTGTAACACCTCCATCATCATCCACCATTTTCAAAAATAGAGCTTTGCACTTGGACTTCTCCAGAACTCCTCAGGCACTTTCAGCTCAAGCTAAGCATCCCATTAGCTTCCTGGGAACTTGAGGAAGCTAACCCAATTAATCATTGTAACTCACTGAAAGCTTCTCAAACTCCAAACCCGATACCCTCTTGCAAGGTAAGTTTTCTAACTTTGGAACTTTTCATATAGGAATCATCAATGATTTATTTGTGAATGAAACATGTAGATATCATTGCCCTAAAGCTAACCATGTTCATAGTTTTCATTAATTTTGCTTGAGCTTAGAGAATTTTAAGATTGAAATTTATGAGATTTTTATGGTTCAGATTAGGGCCATTAAAATTCATGCTTATCTTTGATTTATAATTCTATTTCTTTACATTTCTGAAATCGTGAGGAAACTTGCTACAAGTTTCCAGTTCACACTTTTCATTTTTGTTGAGGATTGATTGAGTTACAGAGCTTCTGGCTGGGCGTGAGGTTGAAGATGAAGATTGGCCTCAGGAACGTGTTTACCATATATATTTATGATTTGATTTATATAAACAGATGTATAGCCACCCTAGTGGTAGAAGCGCGCGCCTGTAACCAGAGGGACCTGGGTTCGAGCGCCAGTGGTACTCTTTTGATTTTTTTTCATATTTTTTCCTATTCTGACTTTTTGGACAAGCGCTGGGCCTCCTCCTTTGGGCCTTATGTTTTTTTCTTACCTCTAACCCCCTTTCCGGGCTATTCATACCTCTGGCCCAAATTTTATTTTCTCTTCTTATTTTCATTTTATTTATTTTTTTAATTATTTTTCTAATACTAAAAAATTATAAAAGATATAAAAATATTAGATTTATATTTGGACTTAGTTTATTTATTTTTTCCTACACAAAAATTATTTTATTTTATCATTATTTATTTCACTAAATATTTTGTAAATTTAATTAAAGACTATGGTTTTAGTTTATTTCTCTCATAATAAAAAAAAATCTCTTTTAAATATATAAAGACCAAAAATATTTTATAATACTATAAATTATTTTCAAGACAAAAATACCAAAAATACTTTTCTTATAAACTTAATTTCTTTTTAATCAATTAATAGATTTAGGGTTTTATTTAAAATCTTTTCTTAGTAAATTTAGTTTTACTTTTAATTAATTATTTTCTTTTAATTAATTAGGTTAAAACAAATTCCATTTTCCTAAAAAATCCAAACAAAAATATCCATTTTCTTCACATTTGCATTCTTGTATATTTATTCATTATGTACATTATTTATTTCAATTCTTGTATAAATTCAATATGGTTGTAATAGATTAATTAGGTTTATTTTCTTGCAATCCCCATTTATAACTTGTACACCCCCTCCCACAAGTATTATAATAGCGTAGTAAATTTTAAATTCCACAATTTATCGCTTTATATACAATTGCTAGTAATTAGGGTTTGTATGGAAAGACTAAAACTAATCAAATAGAAAACCCTAATCAAAGAAAAAATCAAGCATGAAAAATAATACACTTGCACACAAGCACCCCTAGGATAAATCCACTTGGTTGCCTTACTAAATGGCCATATTACGCTTGTGAGGTATCTTAGACAAAAAAAAAATTACAAGATCATAGTCCCTCGATGACGCTATCTATGTTGCATTTCAAATGATCTTAGTCCTTAAAAGAGAATTCTAAGATACCTTGCAGCATTGCTAATCATGGTTATACGATGACCCACGCCCGTCTCGTTTACATCCAAAGATATGGTTACTTACCAAATCAATGGTAACATAACAATGTCAACGGAAAAAGAAAATGAACATGAAATACTTTTGAGTAGGTAGAATGCTCTTAATTACTTGCTCAATTTTCAAAACATCCTTTCTATTTTCAAAACAAATACCTACGCTTTCAAAACCTCTTACAAAATTGAAAACATTTTCAAAATATCAAACATCTTTGTATACATTCTTACGAACGAGAATCATTACAAAGATTTCCTAAACGATGGCCTCTTTAAAAAATACTTTGAAAAACCACACAAAGCAAAATTTCAAACAATAAGTAAGTGATCTAGTAAGTAACTAAAAGCCCATGGAAAACCATGAATGAAAAGGGTGTTAATACCTTCCCTTTTCATAATCTACCCCCCGAACTCAAGAAATAATCTCAAAGGTCTTTCTTGTGCTTTTTCACCTTTCCTTTTGGATAAAATAAAAGTCGGTGACGACTCTTGCTAACCGCAACATTTGCAATCAAACGCAAAACCTTCAAGTCAGTTCTCCCAATGTATCACAATTAGTAAAGAAAACTTGTTTCTTTTAAAGGGGGTTTTAAAGAAAACTTTTTGATTTAAAACCCAAGGTGAGTTAGGATTAATAGGATATTGGGTTCGATTATTACTTTTTCCTCGTTGCACTTTACAAATTGCCAAACCTTAGAATAGAAGGGGTTGTAGTGTTGGGGTTGGTTGAAAATATACATGTTCAAGAAGTCTCACATTGCTTATTTTTGTAAAGGAAAAGGGATTCCAAGGCTATATATAGGATTAATGTTTTTCTTTACAAGATGCACCAGTCAAAACACTTTAAGCTTGTATTTGACTTTCTTTGTTCTCTTGTGCTCTTAGATTAAAGTGTTGTGAGATATAGTTAAGTATTTGCTTTGGATGGTGTGGATGTATTAAGGGCCTGTGTTAGTTGAGGGTATATTATATGTTGTAAAAATTTTCACATAGTGTTATTCTCTGGTTGTCTATTGACAACAACTGTGATTTTTTCTACGGTTTTGGAGTTTCCACGTTATATCCTTGTGTTATTATTGTTGTTATTTTGTTCTTATTTTTCCCTATGGTTTATTTTTTCCAACAATTGATATTAGAGCTTTTGGTTTGATCCGGGAATATGAGTTCTTAGTATGTGAAACAACCGGCTGAAAATCATCAAACAATGAAGTCTCCATCGAACGTCTTTTATCCCACATGAAGGGAAAGGTAAACATCGAGGAAACCTGAAAAGGGTGAAATCAAGGTCAAACAACCAAGAGATAAGGGTAAGGGAGTCTGTTATGCGAGGGGAAGGTATTAGCACCCCACACGCCCGTAGTACTCTACGGTATCCACTCTTGTTGTCTATCTTATGGGTGTGTTTCGTCTATGCTTACTGTTTATCATTGCTAAGGGGAGAATGCATGCAAAAGAAAGGGTAAAAGATGTAGGGAAAATTAAAATTTGTGCTCGCTTGGGCCCTACCCCAATGCCTACGTATCCCTTTTAAGGAATCAGAGCAGCCGTAGTTCGGCTTATATGTTTTTATTTGTTTGTATTTTTTTACTGAACATTATTAATTTCGCCTTCTGCCGCAACTCGACCGTTGGAGACTTAGGCGTCAGCACAGAAGTGAATTAACACGCTCTTCTGAAAAGATTTGGAGAAAATGTGCTTGGGCGCACAAAAGTTTGAATTTGGTTTAGGTTTTTAATGAACGATATTAATTTTGCCTTCTGCCGCAACTCGACCTTTGGAGACTTACGCGTCAGCACATAAGTGGATTAATACGCTCTTTCTGAAAAAAGTTTGAAAGGAAGGCCCGAAGGCAAAAGGAATTTTGTGTTGGTTGATATTTTTGCTTGTAGATAATAGCTAGTTAATCTCAAGAGAGAGAGAGATTTTAGCCATGTCTCTACTTATTCATGAAATGATTCTTTGAGACTTGAATCATACCAAAGCTTAGAACAAGAGAATAATAAGGTCGAGAAGAAACCCGCTTATATTCTCTCAAACTTAGCCCAGACATGGTTCTTGTCAGTAAATTTTTATGTATTTTTGAAGTTTGTAAAAAAAAAAGGGAGAAGTTTTTGTTTTAAAGTCATATGCAAAAAAAGGGAAGGACAAGTCACAGGGAAACCAGTCTATTTCTAAACCTAATTTTATTATACTTCATACGACCTTTATGTAGAGATAAATGCAAGGTAAAAGTAGAAAGAAAATATACCAAACGAGTATTAGCCCGTGGAGCAAAGCAAAAAAAGTAAAGAGATCCGATGTTCTTGCGAGATGCTAGCACCAACAAAGAAAAGAGTCAGAAATCCAATATTCTGAATGATTATTGAAGCATCCTCTGTGTGAAAATAAATCTCAATCGGCATCTCGAGCGTATCCATATAACATACAAAAAACCTGCATCAGACTCGAATCTTGACAAGCAAAAATGAATTACAAGTCTCGAGTAATCGAATAATCATGAATTAATTCCCAATTGTAAAATAATAAAAAGAATATAATAAGTTCTCCTCTTTTCTTTTCTCTTTTGATTTAACCATTTGAAATAACAATTAAATAAATGAATAATAATAAAAGGAGAAAAAGAAAAAAAAGATTCCAAAACGACGATGTTTACTGTAAACGGCCCCCTCCAGCTTCTTTACACAGAAAGCCTTTCTTCTACATTCGAAAAAACAACAATGGAGATGCCACCATGACTCCATCCCTTCTCCCCTATTCCGATTCAACTTTCTTGTTAACACCACCTAAAGTCTCCCTCTGAATTCGACTCCTTTGCTTGCTTTCGTCAATTTCTCTTCCTCTATCCCGAATCTAACAACAAAACTTAAGCTCTACATTTCTTCCGATCAAGATTACATGGTGGATTTATCATTCGCCGCTATTTACCCTTCGCGGTTATGGTACAGACCAAGCAAAAAAAAAGTCGTAAAAAGAAAAAGATTGAGGATTACCTATTGAAGACACGTTGGTAGCGCTTCAGAAATCCAGAGGTGAAGTAATACAATTATTGTCCTTCTTGATCTTGTCTGCTTCGTCTTGATCCCTTCATCACTGTCTTCACTTTTCTTTGGTTTGGGGGTTGCGTGCGTTGGCGATAGGAGAAGAGCGGAAATGATGACAATTATGAAGATTATCGCAAGTTGAGAAAAATGAACTTTGTATGATGAATCAGAGAGAAGTGAAGCTTTGAGAACTGACTGAAGGTCGAACAATGGAGAGTGGAGGTGAAGACGGAGTTTAGAGAGGGGAAATTGAAGATGATGGTTTCGGTGATTCTCCAGAACAGTATATGGAGAGAGAAAAAATGATCCCCGAGACTGATGAAGAGCAAGGTTTATATAGTTGGTCAGTTGAGAAAAGTTTGTTAGAGATTCCAGAAAGTTTGTTAGAACAGTAGCCTATTACTAGAATGGTTAGAAGTTGGTTAAAATTAGTTATCTGCCTTGTAATTGGTTATAGGAAGAAGTCCTGATCGAGTCGGTTATGAATTCTGTTTTCCTTTGTTAGCAGTTTCTGTTATCACTGTTAGAGTTAGTTATAGAATTAGTTAGGGAGTTATAAAATTGTTAGGAGGAAATTGGTGAGCTATTAATTAATCTTCTGTTTCTCATTTTCTGAGCTTCTGTCCTACAAACAATCTTCCAGCAGCCAGCTGCTTTGATAATGGAACATCCAAAATGGCATTTATAGGGTACCATTCATCAGTTAGTTCAACTTGTACCGTGGCATAGTGTTTTTTGAAACCTTCAGGATCTTTTGAGTTGTTCCATGATGTGAATGGTTGATATAGTCTCATAAACCGCCTACCCCAGTCCCTATGAGCTTCGAAAAGTTTGTCATCATTTCCTTCATCTATGTAATTCATTGCAAGCAGGCGGTTCTGGCCAGCATTTCGAGAGTTGGGATCAATCTTGAGACGTTGTTCATAAGCATTATTTACTAGAGCAATATCACCATCATCTCTGTAAAGAAGTCCTAGGTTATTGTAGGCCTCTGCATATGTCGGATTTGTAATGATAGCTTTCTCAATCATACTTGCCGCGGCGTCCATCTTACTCTGGACAATGTAGACAACACCAAGGTTATTTAATGACTGTGAAAAGTTGGGTTTGATTGACAAAGCAAGCTGGTAGCATTCTATAGCTTTATCAAGGTTGTCACGATCTTTATATATAACACCTAGATTATTACAAGCTTCCGCACAATGTGGATTGAAATGAAAGGCAAGCTCGTAGAATACAATAGCCATATCAAACTTAAGCATCTCACCATAAGCAACCCCGAGATTATACATAGCATCAGCATAATGCCAGTTATAAAATAAGGCTCTTCTTATAAAAAGCCACACCCCCGGTTGATGTCGCCCTCCAATTTAACCTTTGTTCCCAAATCTGTCAAAGCTATAGGTATATTATTTTTGGCAATCTCAAAGTTAGGTGAAACAGCTAAACACCTCTCATAACAAGTAATAGCCGCTTCCAAATCACCTCGATTTTTATAAATCACACCCATGTTGCAATATGCTTCGGCATACATAGGCCTCTCTAAGGAAGCTTTTTCATAGAAAGTGAGGGCCATGTCATATTGCATCATTTCAGAATAGATCATGCCAAGGTTATAATATGCTGGAGCATAGTATGGGTCTACTTTTAGAGCTTCAAAATGTTTTTGAATTCCCTCCTGAGTGTTTCCTGCAATAACCTGTCTAAGGCGAGAAAAGAAGTTGTGGCCCATTTTTGGCACCTGCTGTTTCTCCTTGCTATCGAGACTAGAATCCCACTGGTTGAGTAGATCGGAGGCAATTCTGGTCAATCCACTTTTGGAAGCAGCTTCTCGTGCCACAGGATCTTAATTAAGAATTAAAGCAAGAGTATGAAAAAGAGTAGCCAGCATGATGTAATTATTAATGCTAGAAACTATACCACATTCTTTGATAGGCCATTAGAAGACAAGATCTTCTCCAACTGGGCCTTTGCAAGTTTTTGTCTGGTCTCGTCATAACGTTTCCATCTTGAGAATGCTGACACCATTCTTGATGCAACCTGAGGATTTATTTTGTTAAGTTGCAGCACAATATCTCCCATAAACTCATAGCCAGATCCATCCTTTGCATGGAAATGCACAGGGAGCCCGCAAAAACCTCCAATGAGAGAGTACACTTTATTGGGATTGTGCAAGTCAAATGTTAGGTGGCTTAACAGTTTATGCACATTCTCAACATTACCAGGAATGTCAGACACAACTTGAAGAGCAAACCATTTGTTCACAACCAAGTAATCATTCTGCCACTTCTCATAAAAGTCAGCAAGAACATCATCACGAATTTTAACAGGGTTCTGGGCTATGGATGCCAATGCTGTAAACTGTTCAGTCATATTTGTAGCAGTTTTGTATTCTTGAAGTGCAAGGTCAGTGAATTCTTGATCCTCAAGGGAAGCAAGATAAGCAAGAGCAACATTCTTCAAAGCTCGTCTAGACATGTTTGAATGATCAAACACATATTCTCCTGAACTCTTATTATTTTCTACAGTGCTAAGGAACTCTGATTTCAGTTCACTAGCAAGCTGCTTTCTGATGAAAGATCGAACAGTATGAACAGCATCAGGGTCTGCAACTTCCATCAAGTCCATTATTTCTCTGTCGCCCAGCAGAGTTATTGCCTTGGCCACAAATTCTTTGTCCAGACTTGAGTCAGTTAGTATACGCTTGAACCCACCAACAGAATTGGAATTTAAAACCAATGACTTATTATTTTGGAAATCATCCACCAAGTTGATCATCAATTTTCGTGCCAAAATTTGTCCAGCCTCCCATCGGTTGAATTCATCAGAATCATTGGCTAATAGGAAAAACCGGTCATCCTCAGTAAGATTATATTGAAGACGAATAGGAGCATTGTATCCCCTTAACAAAGATGGAACAGGCTTCTCAAATATATCAGTGAATACAAACTCTTCTTATTTCTTATTGACTCTAAGGACTGTAGTGGATACTGATTGGCCACTACTTGAAACGAGTTGCAAGGCTCCGTTATGATAAATGGAGGAAAGAGGAATGTCCTTGCCATTTGAATCAAGCAAACCTACTGCAATAGGAATTAACGTGGGTTCCTTAACTGACTGCCCTAGAGTTTATGGTGTCTCTTGACTAATCTTCAAGGAAAATGTATGTCCTTCTGCATTATAAGAAGTATTTACTTTAACAACTGGAGTCCCAGCCTGAGAGTACCATGATAAGAAATTTTCAAAATCTGCATCATTTGCATCCCGCATGGCAGCATAAAAAATCTTCACATGTTACAGCTTGCCCATCATGTCTCTTAAAATATAGATCCATGCCCCTTTCGAAACCCTTGACTTCCCAATAAGAATTTGTCTCTGGTTCAACCATCTCTGAATCTGATTCTTGTATAATGCTTGTGGGACTCTTGTTCCTGGTAGACAAGCATCAACACTGGTATAGTTGTAGCTGTGAACATCCACGCGAAGTCTTCTAACAGACACATTTTGAAATGTAGCGCTCATCATTGTTAAATTTAGACTTTCCATTATATGTTTGAGTGAACGCCCATCCAAATTCAGGCTGTCTCTGAATGAAATGTATTTGGAATTTCTCATCATCTTTGATGCAATAGTTTTTTTTTAGTCTGAAACTGAAACAAGGGACGTGCAGTTGCCGGCATTTAACAATTTGATGAGAGAGGGGAGCTCTTGAAGGTATCGAATCTCCCTGCATTCCTCCAATGACAGAATTTCTAGCCCTTGAAGATTCCTGATGCTTTCCGGCAACCTTTTCACGTTACTTCCATTTAGAATTAGTTCTTGTAATTTTGATAGGACACTTATGTTGTCAGGGAGTTCAAACAAGTTATTACAATCCTTCAAATGTAGTATTTGTAGAGATCGTAGGCCATCAAACAAGACATGTAGCTGCTGTTTCTTAACTTTTGGTCCACTGCCAGAAATCCTAAGCTTCTTAATAGATGTTAGGCTAGGTAACTCCTTTGGAAGATACTCAAGTCTTGAACTCTCAAGATTAATCCACTTAAGATTGCGAAGAAGCCCAATAGATAGGTCAAGTGTTTGAATCTCTGTACTGCTTAAATCCAAGCTTTCAATTAAATCCGAGGAGACGGCAAATTCCTCGAGACTTGTACAGCCAATGATACTGATCTTTTCCAAAAAAACTTTAAATGTTTCCGGCCTTTAACACTCCCAAGCTTTGTACAACCGTCAAGTATCAGAGTAGTAAGTGTTTCAGCCAAAAGAACAGATGAATGAAGATCGACCAGACTCACACAAATATAATGTTTTGAGGAACTGATAACGAAGATGGAAATATGGAAGAAGTATAACCAAGATATCCTTAAAACTATTAATCCACATTGACTTGTATTGTGAGCAAAAACTAACGATGATGAGAACAAAAATGGCCTTGATCAACATGAATCTATGGTACCATTCCTTATGCCATGACCTCATACTTTTCAATTCAACCCCACAAGTCCTTTGTTTTGTCAAAAAATGTCTTTGTGGGATCCTTGAAGAAGATAAAATTTGAAGCTTATAAGGATATCCTCTAATCATTCCTCATTGATGAACATCAACAAACTCACACACAAAATGCAAAACCTTAACCCGCTTGTATTAGGTGCACAATGACGACTTGAGACATGGATAGAATAATGTTCAAAATGTCTTCGAAATGAAACAAAGCATGATCTTCTAATAGACATAAAGAAATAAACTCAAATCTTCAGACTTTAACAAATAAAACCTTGCAACTTGATTTTGAGATAAAGAGAATAACCTCGTAGCTTGATAAAGAAGAAATCCACAACAACCATCAATCAAAACCCTAAATTCACAATTCAATGTACCAGAAGAATCAGTCTTGTTTGATAAACACTCCGAACCAAAAGAAAACACGAGCTTCACAACCAATGATTCTATGAACCATGATTCGACAAAACCTGAATTGGTTAATTGAAGAGTGGATGAATGCCATGTCAAAGTCATTAAGCATGTTGTTTATCAGAAAATAATAGCCTTGCTGCTTGAGGGAAAGGAAGTCCAAAAAATGAGAATGAACCAAAACCCTAATTCCCCAACTTGCTGACACCAGGAAGACCCTGAATAATCAGGCTCATTCCACACATACACCTTAAATCAGTTGTAACCCTTAGCTCCCTAACTGCTGGTCTTTTGAACCTTAGGCGATCTATTTTTATGAAAAATGTGTGCTATGCAAATGACCCATTGGAATGATGCAGATGAATGCAAAAATTCTAAGCCAAATAAAAGAGATTAGGAGGGCAAATTTTGGGGTGCAACAGCTGCCCCTATTTAATCGCCTTCAACCTGAAGGTGAGATTGGCGCCGGCCTTTCGAACTTTCAAGGTGGAAGAAGATTAAATACTTAAAAGAACCCGAAAATTTGCGCTCCGGAGTCAGCCAGGTATTAATATTTTTGGTCTTTCTGGGTTAAAGGGGTTATCGGGGTTAGATGTATGTTTAACCAGGGTTTGACACATAGCAGAATAACTTGGTTATCAAGGAACATCTGTTGGGATTTAGTAACAAACACCTGTAAGAAAGATATCAAAAGATATATGCTTGAAGTCTGTAGCAGACATACGGGAAAAAGTATCAGAGACACATATCTGGGGTTGGTAGCGGATATACAAGAAAGAGACATCAAAAATACATATCCGTGGTCGGTATCGGACACGTAAGAAAGAGATAGAAAAGATACATATCCGTGGTCAGTATCGGATACGGATGAAAAAAAGAGATACATTTCCATGGTCGGTATCAGATACGCACAAAAGATATAGAAAAGATACATATCCGTGGTCGGTATCAGATACGTACAAAAGAGACATCAAGGATACAAGAACATATGTCTGGGGTTGGTAGCAGACATATAAAACAAGTATCAAAAATACATATCCGTGGTCGGTATCGGATACGTACAAAAGAAATAGAAAAGATACATATCCGTGGTCGGTATCAGATACGCACAAAAGAGACATCAAAGATACATATCTGTGGTCGGTATCGGATACACAAGAGAGAAATAGATACATATCCGTGGTCGGTATCAGATACGTACGAAAGAGATAGAAAAGATACATATTCGTGGTCGGTATCAGATACGTACGAAAGAGACGTCAAAGGTACATATCTGTGGTCGGTATCGGATACGTACGAAAGTGACATCAAAGATACATATTCGTGGTCGGTATCGGATACGCAAGAGAGAAATAGATACATATCCGTGGTCGGTATCGGATACGTACGAAAGAGATAGAAAAGATACATATCCGTGGTCGGTATCGGATACGTACGAAAGAGACGTCAAAGGTACATATCTATGGTCGGTATCGGATACGTACGAAAGAGACATCAAAGATACATATCCGTGGTCAGCATCGGATACACACAAAAGACATCAAAGATACAAGAACATATGTCTGGGGTTGGTAGCAGACATATAAAATAGGTATCAAAAATATATATCCGTGGTCGGTATCGGATACGCATAAAAGAGACAGACCGAAGAAAGCTCTTACAAAGATATCAAGAACACATGTCTGGGGTTGGTAGCAGACATATGAAGTAAGTATCAAAAATACGTATTCGTCGTCGGTATCGGATACGTAAGAAAGAGATAGACCGAAGAAAGCTCTTGCAAAGAAACACCAATCGAAGGTGAACGTACTGAGGGAAGAGACCAAACAAATAGGACTTCTGACAAATGATACTAATCGACGATGGATTTTAACAAATGATACCAGCCGAAGCGGGTTATTTTAGAAAGATACCAGCCGAAGCGGGATTTTGAAAGATACCAGCCGAAGCGGGATCTTGAAAGATACCAGCTGAAGCGGGATTTTAACAAAAGATACCATCCGAAGGTGGATTTTAAAGGATGCCAGCCGAAGGTGGACTTTAGGATAAAGAAACCAGCCGAAGGGGAATCTTTATCCAGGAATACTATGCCGAAGGTAGATTCCTAAGAAAAGAACGCCGGTCGAAGGCGAACTTACAACTGCAAAGAGACCAGCCGAAGGGGACTCTCAACAAATGATACCAGCCGAAGGTGGATTTTAAAGGATGCCAGCCGAAGGTGGACTTTAGAGGGTGCCAGCCGAAAGTGGACTTTGAAGGGTGCCAACCGAAGGTGGACTTTAGGATAAAAAAACCAGCCGAAGGGGAATCTTCATCCAGGAATACTATGCCGAAGGTAGATTCCTAAGAAAAGAACACCGGTCGAAGGCGAACTTATAACTGCAAAGAGACCAGCCGAAGGGGACTCTCAACAAATGATAAAGGTATACACATCTGGTCAGAGTTAGATACATAAGAGCGAAGTTGGTCATCAAGAAACAAATGTTTAGGGCTGATAGTGAACACAAGAACGAGACTAGTCGAAGAAAGCCCCAATAAAAAAGGACGCATTCGCCTAAACAAGGGCGCCAGACAACTGGACTTTGAAGAGACATTGAAAGACTCTTAATCATAAAAAGTTAGCTAGGCTAACGAAAGGAGGACCCGACTAACATGGATAAACCAAAACAAGGAACCGACTAAGCAGGACCTTCAAAGAGCACCGATCGAAGGTGAACTCTGCAAGAGAAAGGGACTGGTCAAAGCAGACTTTAACAAAGAAAAACATGTTAGGCTTTCGATAGGCTGCAAATACGCAAGAACTAAAAATCCCCCAGGCCAAAGGCAGGGTGTTAATTCTTCAAGAGTGGCAATTGTCAGAATTACCACACACCAAGTATGGATACTCAAACACTCGAGAAGTAAGAAGGTTATAAGCCAACTTTTACTCATACTCTAACGACAAAGCAAACGCGGGTAAAATAACCGAAGGCTTGCAAAGAAAAGCGCAAACCACGAACTTACTGGGGAAATGGAGCTATACCAAAGACCCGACTGGTGGTGAATCAAAATAAACTTTACTGGGGAAACATAATTGAATTACCTTAGGCTTGTTGTATAGATAAATCAAGTCTGAGCGCATAACAGTCTGGTTACTGCAAATGGACACGATTGGCTTATACTCATGCATGTTTGAATTTTTTTATAGCGTAATGCTCCATGCGATGGAAATGCTACGAGTTTTGGGAGATGCAATGTAATGATGCAAATATAATGATGTAATGCATTAAGAAAACAGATCGACATCGGCTGCTGAGAAGACAGTGAACTTTCAAACGATTATTCTTGCACGTCTGATCTTCTGGTAGAGAAAATGTAATAATGGGGAACTGAGATTCGAAACCATCAACCTCAGACGATTGATCTCACTGGGGAAGTAACTTCGTGGGGACAACACTACAAACATAAAATTGTAGTTCAGAGAAAATCTTGAATTCTGATCAAACTCCCCACTTCACGGGGAAAAATTCTTTATCCTCTATTGGAAAGAGGAAAGCTTTGCTGGGAATGGAAACTTCTAGCATAGAAATTCTTTGACGAAGATAAACTTCTGTTGGAGAGTATAGAAATTCTTAAATAAAAAGAATTCTACTCAGACCACACTGGGGATAACGTTGCTGGGAGGTAAAAGGTCCTCACTTGGGGAAGAAACAACATCCCGGGACAAA